GCAAATGCTTTGCCAACCAAATTATTATATTATTTTTCAAAAAGTTTTGTAAAATTTTTAACAGTTTGATGAAAATTAAAATAGTTTTAGAAATTATAATTTATACGAATTGCTGTTATGTAAAGTAAATTGTTTTCATGAAAAGAGTAATTATAAAGTCCACTGTCTCTTTCATATTATTGCTAATTTTAGGGCTGTTTCTGTCATGAAATACTTATCTAGAGAGTGGGCATGCATCCACTTGACATCTCAAAAAGTAAGCTTACTTTATTAGTGAAGGTGGTCACTGAGTGAGTACTGACTGAGTACTAGTACTGAGTCCAAGTGAAAAGCTATATCAAAGTAGATGTAGACTTTATGTCGTTTGAGATCTGTTTCTTACAAACAGCAATTCTTATATCACACACGTGGGCTGACCACGATCGTGGTTCACAAGGATCGAAGCGGCGAGCCGACCATGGTCGGGATTGATCCGATCGAGCTGATCCCAATCATTATATTGTGGTAAAAAATTCGTGGGGCAACTTATTACTAAATTATACTAAACACGTCCAAAATATCTAACTCGGCGTCTGGGGCAGGTAGTTCTCTTGGACAGTGTCGTCGTAATAATAGTAATGTTATTGATAATAATAATAATAATAATAATAATAAGAAGAAGAAGAAGAAGAAGAAGAAGAAGAAGAAGAAGAAGAAGAAGAAGAAATAAAGAAGCTGTGTGTGTGTGCGCGCGCGCGCGCGTGCGTGCGTGCGTGCGTGTGTGTGTGTGTGTGTGTGTGTGTGTGTGTGTGTGTGTGTGTGTATGTGTGTGTGTGTGTGTGTGTGTGAATTACTTCAGCTATGAAAAAATAACTTCAAAACTTTCCATTACACTTTCGTTGATATCATACAGATAGAAATGATACAGGTAGGTGTATTTTCAAAGAATAAAAATGAATTTGTCAAAGGGAAAATAAAGATGGTGGAAGAATAAGAGTATGAGGGAGACATGGATGGACAGACAGTGGTACAGGAGGGACAGAAAGAAAAGATGATGGAAGAACAAGAAAAAGACTTAAGGAGACTTGTACTGGGACAGAAAGAAAAGATGTCGGAGGAAGAACAAGAGGAAATTAGGGAGGGGGGCGAGAATGGACAGACAATGGTACAGGGACAGAAAGGAATGATGGTGGAAGAACAAGAGGAGGGGGGAGGGGCGAGGATGGAGAGACAAGGGTACAGGGACAGAAAGGAATGATGGTGGAAGAACAAGAGGAGGGGGAGGGGGGAGGGGCGAGGATGGAGAGACAAGGGTACAGGGACAGAAAGGAATGATGGTGGAAGAACAAGAGGAGCGAGGATGGAGAGACAAGGGTACAGGGACAGAAAGGAATGATGGTGGAAGAACAAGAGGGAGAATGGAGTACAAGGACAGGAAGGCCCATCTCTAACCTTTAGCTCTGGGGAGAGGGGGGGGGGGGGGGGCACCCACCAACTATTGTAAAATATATTTATGCAATAACCTTCCGTCTACATGTTAAACATTATTATTATTATAATGATTATTGGGAAGTAGACCTACTGCAACTATGGGAGGATTAGGCGCCTATTTACGGGTCACTGGCTGCGCTCTCTACAAAGACAGAGCGACCCTGTTTGACCGGTCGATTACCTGAGATTAACCAGTGACCGAACTCGCCCTATACGCTGTCTGCTGCCAACATTGACTAAAACACAACCACCACTCCTTTTTCTCCGACCCGATGTGTTTGTAAATTGTAAGCAAAACAGATGTCTACAAAGGAGACAACTCTATGATGTAAGATCACTACAGGTCAATATCCCCGGCGACCGACCGCATTAACAAAAGGCTACCGGTAGGCTATCATTATCATGGTCCCGCCGGAGGAATGAATGAATGAGCCTGTTGTTCGCAATGTTCGGTACGTTCGAATACAATAGGTCAAATACAAGTATCCGAACAAAAGCTCGAGTTTTCTTAGCTTTTGGCTTTGAGTTTTGAGCACACGCACTTCGACGGGCTCGGGCAAGACAACCAGCAGTACTACTATATCATGTAATGGTGTTGTTTCCAACTCAATGACCATTTCAACGTACTTATAGTAGGTCTCTCGCTCTGTACACAGACTGAGGCTACCTCTTAGATTTCCTTTTTTTTTAAAAACAAAACAACGCTCATCTATCTGCCTCATCCCCACTATTGTATCAAACTTAAATTTCAATTTGCAAGGGGACCGATGGTACGTGACAATTCGGATTCTATTTCGTCGCTGTTCTAGAAACAAAAACAGAACCCTTTTCGATCACAATGCAAGGGCCTACAGCCTACAGAGTTGTCTGCTAAGCCTGTTCACTTTCGTATGTCCACGTAAAAACAAGTATAAGCACCAACAACAACAAAAGTGTAGCTCATTTATTTGCCGATGTGCACGCAACTTTGCATGGAACTCCTGTAGGCCAGTAGTAGTATAAGGTTTTACGGTGCTCGCAACTGCTAAGGTCTTATGTAGGCCAGCAAGCAAACAAAACAAAAACAAATATATAATGACCCAGAGATTTTAGAACCGTTTAACAATTGGACCCTTAGGGCATATACAATGACCTAACCTACACATTGCTCACTAATTTTTTTTAAAAGATAGATCGACAGCATCTTTCCCCCAAACGTCAACACCCCACAGAACGTCTTGACACCACAACGGAACCACAAAAAGTAGGCTAATTCACCCGTATGTTGGACTGTTCCCAATTATAATCTTTATCGTCAAAAGCAAGACAAATGAACAGGCTTTCACGTTCAGATGATACCTATAACTTTACATGCTCAAAAATTGACCATCACCTAAATAAACCGCTAATGCTTGATTAAACCCAGTGCCCATTGGGGGTCGGTTCTTTAATAAACCGATCGCCCGACTCGTGGCCTTGAAAACAAAGTATCTGGCTACAGCCCTCTATCTGGCTCTTATCTAAAATTGTCTCCTTTCATCTCCTTTTTATTCCTGCTATCTTATCATGTTCTGTCTTCTGCTTTCGTCTCCACTTTCTGTTCTTCACCCCCCCCCCCTTTTCCCCTTTAGCTATGGGCGCCTGACTCTTTCTGCAGCCATTCTACTACTACTTGGCTCCTTCTTACTGCTGTCTTTCAGTCAGGCGTGTGGCTGAAAGCTGGTCTGCTCGGATAAGGGTGAAAAATCTCGGAGGTCTAATATGTGCATGTTGCGAACGTTAAAAATCCCTATGCGGTCCTAAAATCGATAAGAGTATGTAATAGGCTTCGGTCGCCACCCGGGCAAAATGAATAAATGTGAGGCAGCGTGGTGGAATCAGGCTCTCGTCAATTTTTGGGCTTGTAGAGTTTTAGGTATCATCTTAAAGCTTGTTCACTTGTTATTATTTGGATGAAAAAAATATCCATCTATCTTGAATACAAGTAGAGATATTTTTGTGAAAGAAGGAGGTAGGGGTCACCTATTTTCCGAGGTAAAATTAGAGAGAAAATGGCCGCCAAAAATTTGTTATTTCCTTAGCTTAAGAGTCCGTGGTAACTAAGATTTTACAATTTTTGTGCCTTTAATCAACGTTTTTTCAGAAAAATTCACCTCGAAATGAGTTCTTTAATGGGCTTGAAAGGTGTTGAGCCAAAAAACAAAAATTCTATAAAAATTCACAAACCTTCGGAAAAATGCAAGTTTCTTCATTTTGATTATTTTGACTATTTTGACGAGGGCCTGATTCCACCACGCTGCCTCACAAATTTCCTCCAAACTGAAAATGTTCAATGTGTCCCGTGCTCTCAAATGACCTGATGCAGTTGCGAGCACCATAAAACACCTATCAAAACAAATCTAAACCATGTAACAAGGCAAAACCGAAGATCGTATCCCCAGGGGAGGCGAAAGAGAGGAAAGCCGAGATCCTCCCGTGACGAGATCTGAAGGAAGATTATATCAGGCATAGGCCTTGTGGCACTAGCTGGGCTGGAGGGAGAAAAGATTGCACAGAATAGAGGCAGGTGATGGAGATGTCCCTTTTTGGCAGCCTATAGCTTGGTTTCCCAATGCCACTGTGAAAGAGGCAGATGATGATGAAGAACAAATGTGTGTCGGAAACACAGGGATAGGCCTGATGGTGTTGTTGGTGGTTGGGGGGGGGGGGTATTTTTGTTTTCTTTATTTTTTCTTTTTTGAAAAAAGGGCATCCGATCAGAGAAGTGAATGGAGAATCATGATCGCCAATGTCTTAGTCAGATGTGACACTCTAAGTTTAAGATGATATGTCATAAAAGACTAGCAATATATTTTCTCCAGAATTCTTTTCAGATTTGCCTTCAGAAATTTGTGCTTGTAGAAACCAGTGGGCAATAGCCTGGATCACTAATTTCGATAACAAGAACAAAATATAAGGCATACAATTATATTACAACAAGGAAGAAAATGTTTAACAATAGATACAGGCCTTCATAATTATAGCTATAAGGCCCTAGCATGTTTACGAGTCAAAAGCGCCGATAAAATCGGTTTTGAGAATAGAGTTCTGCTTTGTAGTAAAACTGAACCAGAAAGAACCTGAATAATGAGCCATTGGCAATCATTAATATGCCTACGATAGCTCTACCGGCAGGTCTACATAATAATGATAATTATTTTATATATTATGAGAACAAAAAGTCGAGTATTCGTATCATAGGGAGTCGTAAGACTACTCGAGTATCTGAAACGATTATTTCCTGAAAAACACAATCGCGAATCGGTTCGGGTCAAGGGTCAAGGTTAGGCTAGCATGTAAAATCTAAAAATACGGCGCGGAAATTTTAGTGGACACTGGGCAAGCAATGAGTTCAGCCCCGTGAAGGTCTGGTTTCATAGTTAATTTTGACTTTTAATTTGATTAGTAATTCAAGTAACGGCTTTACTTTATGGGAACTATTCCACGAAAGTACCTGCAGATTTATTGATTCGCTGGTGTTCGTTCTGGCCTTGCAGTCTGGTGGTTTGCTAGGCCTATCATTATCATCGGCCCGGCCGGTTCTGAACTCACTCTGTGACTGTTCAGTGTTGTGTCGTGACTCAGCCTCAGGAGTGGGTGTCCTGGTTGTGTTTGGGTTTTTTTTTGGGTTGCTTTCTTTAGCCCTTAGCCAAAGCAAATCTTGGCCGTATGTTGAACTGTAACGTAGCAGTGTGTGTTCAGACTGCTTAGTGTGTAGATAGCCCTACTTAATCTAGATCTAGACTAGAGTCTAGCCTAGAATCCTGAGAATCAGCTGCTCATCATCGCTCCAGGCTCCAGCCAAGGACCAAGATCTTTTTTAAAATGCCTGCTGTTTTGGTTAATTTAAAACTGTTTTAACCCCCACCTTGTTAGTTCGAAGGTAGGCAGCTCCACTATGTTTTTTCTCCTTCCTCCTCAAAGTAGGTGTAGTCATGCCATCCTCATCCATGGTCCATGGATTATGGATTTAGGTCTGTATGATCTGGCATCTGGAAGATTAAATTCAGTCGGTGTGACCTGCCTGCGAGATTTAATTATGTAAATCTAGGAAACAAGGCCCTAGCCTGAAACCTCTGCCTATAATTTTAAAAACTGTTTCGGCTGCTCCTGAATTAAAAAAAAAGATTTAAATTTAATGTCATAACATTATTAAAGGCCACCTCTATTCTCACCCGGAGTGAGAATAGACTGAATAGTGCAGGTGAGTCTTGTGGCTATTCTCACCCGGTGCGCGTTCACCAAATTTTGCGTTCACCCTAAACCACAGAATTCTACACTGTGATAACAGAAAAATTGTAGAATTCTGTGCCGTGAACAAACGTTCCATTACAACTGTAGCCTACTAAAAGTAAAAGCGTACATTTTTGTCTGTGGGCAGTGGAGAGAGAGAGAGAAAGAGAGAGAGGAGTAGCGCGAGAATTTCCGGGCAAAACAAAATGGTGGCCCGCGTAGTTCGGCTCGATTCGAAAAGTTAAATAGCCGTAGCATCTTTGTAGACAACCAAATTAATTTACTTTTGTGTTTTAACATCATTTTTTAACTTTGTTTTGGTCAATATGATCGTCCACACCGATAGACAGTATACAGAAAGAGACAGAGAGAGAGAGAAGAGGGGAGGAGTTGATCTTGCGAGAACTTCCGGGCGGGTGAGAATAGCCACTTTCTTATTAAAAGGCCTCGTTATTAATTAAAATATCTATGAGACAGAGTAGCGTGAGAGTAGAATAGAGTGGTAGGGGTAGGTTAGGGTTTGGGGCACTCCTGTAAAATAACAGTCCCATTTGTTTTCATGACGGCCATTGTGGAAGTGAAGGCGGAAGGTTTCAGTAAGCTAGGCAAATTAATACTAGTCTAGAAATAAAAACTTAATGGACGCTCTCCATTTGTTCATGATAACTTGTACTTAAGTGGCGGGTGCAAACGAAAGTCCTCCCCCCAAAAAAAAACAACAACAAAAAAACACAAGAAACAAAAACGAAAAATTTATAAAATTGAGGCAACCAAACTGTTGGAACAGCCAATCTGGTAATCAGACAATAAATGGGACCGCAATTGTCCTACAGGAGTGCTGGGTTTGGGTTAGGGTTCGAGGTCTCTTCTTTATAATATTATGTTTGTTGGGGTGGTCGCTCGTTACGAAAGTCCTTGGGTTTGGGTTAAGGTTAGAGGTCTCTTCTTTATAATATTATATGTTTGTTGGGGTGGTCGCTCGTTACGGAAGTCCTTCCGCATATTAAAATTTGCAGTTCTTTCTCATACCATACCACACTGGGTTTTTTTTTTTTTTTAAACTTATTAATGTAAGTCATGGCCTTCCTCTTCTTGTGTTGTGCGTCTTTACCACGTTTGTGAAGACACAGGCACAGAGGGAACTTGAGGTTTTGTCATTCTATGAGGAGAATAAAGGTACCTCACTTTTGTTGTGCGCGGTTATTTGTTATTATTCATTTGTCACTGTTATTTTTAATTATATTTCTGCTGCTCGTTAAGGCTTTTTTTGGTGTATTTTTAAAATCACATTAACTATGTTTAAAATTTTATCATTTTATTTCAGGAAGAGGCAACTATAGATATTCCCAAAGTGCGGGAGGGATAAGAAAGAACTTGCAATAATGGCGAACCCATTTGAAGCCTCCGTTGGTGGGAAGTTTGCCTTCTTGTCTTTTCTGGTGATGACCGTTTCCTCAATTTCTGGTAAGGCTACAATACAGACAAGTCACAAATCATAGTGGCTGTAAGAAAAAGGAGTAACTTTGCTCCTGTTTTTCAGAGTGGGTAATAAAACAAACTGGAGTTTCTCATTTTTCTTCTATGACACACATATACATATATATGTTATATTGTATATATATATGTTATATATATATAATAACATATATATATGTGTGAAAGTCTTCATTCAATATCTTATGTTTCTTTAAATTGTTATAATAATTGTCTTTCTTTGATTTTTCACTTATAGGCTATGATGGCTGTTGGCAGAACCTCAGTAGTCTCTGGCATTTGTTCTAAGTTATTATAGCTGTCGGAGAAAACAGTTCTTGCTTTTTTGTTTTACCTTAGACCTTAGGTTTTAGGAAAGTATAATATATATATACATATATTTATATATATAATAATATATATATAAATTACAGTAGTCTCCGCCTAAGATCCCGGTGCTCTGGAGCAAAGAAATGCGGGATCTTAGGCGAACTGGGATCTTAACCGATGACCCCAGGGAAGAATCTATGGGGACCCATGTTAAGGCTTTTACAATCAGTAAAATGGTCTCCCTCCACCTTAAAATGAACTGACGTGACCCCTTGGTGGGTTTATGACATATGGCGAGCAAAGAGTGGTTAACCTTGATGGCCTTTCACAGTGCATAGTGCCATGAGGCGTGCCATTTTCACTTATTATCCTGAGTCTCAAGATCTACGCTTATTCAGTTGCCCCTCCCCTGTACCTGTCGAAAATTTATAGCTTTCCATCTCTGACCGAGTCGCCCTCCCCAAACGCCTTTGTTGTTACACACCATTACGTCGTGAACACTCCAATTAAAATTCAGTCTGTCTGGCAAATTCGGGCGTAGAGACAACTGCTGCAATCAACGCCTACTGCAATGGTCAGGGAAGAGTTCACGGTTCGATGTGATCCCACCTGGAAAGAACATGTAGGCCCTACCCACCCAGCGAGTGATGTATGTTTAGGGGGAGAGCTCAGGTGTGAGTGTGATGCGTGGGGAATACAAACGCGTCGGTCAGCTCACACCCCGGTGTGATCCTGTCGGAGGCAAACATTGTATCGCTTCATCCAGTTTTACAACGTGTACGTGATCACATTCACGATAGTGGCTGATCTTTGACACGACGGACAGTTTATTGATCTCAACTTTTTGTTCCGCAAATTATGATCTGAAATGCGGGATCTTAGCCGAATGTAGACCTTCAGAGTGAATCAGAGCAGGATCTTAGGGGTGACTTTTGTATAGTAAAAATTCTGTTTTCTTAAAACAGCGGGATCTTAAGCGAACCGGGATCGTAAGCGGTGGGATCTTAGGCGGAGACTACTTTATTAACTTTTTCTTTTTATTTTACAGAAAAATGGCTGGGACTTTAATTTTCTTGAGGGTTTGTCCTAGAGAAATGAGTGATTTCGAGGATTTTCTTTCTTTTTTTCTGTATTTGGAAGGAAGGTTGGGGGTAAAAGTGTGGGAGAGTGTTTTATTATTTATTATGTATTTCAGTTTTAGTATGGGTAAAAAAACAACACACTGTAAATACATTCTAATTTACATACTTTTGAGTATTTCTTCAGGGTAGACATCTGTACATTTTTGTTCATATCATTGCTAGTTCCTACTTCTTTTCCTTCCTGCTTTTTTTCTGTCTGTATGTATATATCTTGCTTTCTCATTACACACTGATGTTGGTGGGTGGTTGATGGGTGCTCTGGTGTGGTTTGCTTTTTCTTTCCTATCAAACATCTATCGTCCTTATCTACCCTTCTTCTTTTTTATGTTTGCAACTCTCTTGTAACACCTCTAATCTTCTGGCGCTCATATGACCTTATGCAGTTGCGAGTGCCGTAAAAAACCTCTACTAAAAAAAAAACAAGAAAAAAAACCCAGCTGATGTTGCGTTGGTGTGTGCTTCTCTTGAATCAAACTAAACAAAATGATTGCTAGTGTGTCAGTTTTGTTTGTCTTTAGCTTAAAAGAGGTTGAAACCAGAGAAGTTACTTGTTCTCTGAGGCTGCTGTACATTTATAACCTCTCTGCTGTTTTTTCTGTGGGTGGTTGACAGGTCCTCTGGTGTGGTGTGGTTCGCTCCTTCTTTCTTATCAAATATATATTGTCCCGTTCTCGCCTCCCTTTTTGTGCTTATATTACTATCTTGTAATATCTACTATCTTCAGGACTTATATGTATATGATCTTTTTGTGTTGCAAGTGCTGTAAAATTCTTACAAAAATTGAAATTGTCTGTTTCTCTGTCTCTCTCTCTTGTCTCTCTGTCTCTCTGTCTCTGTCTCTTTGTCTCTGTCTCTGTCTCTGTCTCTGTCTCTCTGTCTCTCTGTCTCTCTCTCTCTCTCTGTCTGTCTCTCTCTCTCTGTCTTTCTCTCTCTCTGTCTCAATATTTTTCTCTCTCTCAATCTCTCTCTCTCTCTCTCTCTCTCTCTCTCTCTCCTCTCTCTCTCTCTTTCTCTTTCTCTCTCTCTCTCAATATCTCTCTCAATATCTCTCTCAATATCTCTCTCTCTCTCTCTGTCTTTGTCCACAGGCCCTGGTGTGCTGGCGTCCTACTGTGGGTCAGAGTGGAATGATACTGTGGTATTGTCTAGTGACGAGGAACGTTATATCCTCAGACGTCCAGATATAACTCTCCCAATAGGCGTAAGGTGAGGTTTTCAAGAGTATAAAGGGTGGTTACTGTAATATTTTGTTTGGTGTGCGTTTCTTTTTATTTATCACTACTGCTCCTCGATGCACTAGAGCTCACTTAAATAGAAAAAAATGGTTAATTATCTGAAAACAGCAGTAAACCGGATGAAAATAAAACCCTGTCCCCCCTTTTTTCCCCTACTTTTTTTTAGCTAGCTACTTTTTTAAATTGAGCACCTGGTTAAGGGTTAAGTCGAAGAAAATCTGGCAGTGTAAGGGAACTGCACTATGTATAGCTTTTAGGGTCCAGGTCCAAAGGAAGGATCTTTTGAATACGACAGTGAAAACGGGCTTTGTGTTGGGAAGAAAATACAGCATGGGAAGCGTCGTAGTGAAACCAAACGCTTGTCAAAATGGTGAAATCAAAGAAAACATCATTTTTCTCTTAGTTTGGCAATTTATTTAGTGGATTTTTGGGGTTTTTTTTTTTTGCTTAACACCTTTTATGTCCATTAAAAAACACATTTCGCTGTGTACATGACTGAAAAATGTTGATTAATGACACCAAAAAAAATTAATTTTCTGTTTCGAAGGACTCGTAAAGCTATGGAAGTAATCAATCTTTGGCGGTCATTTTCTCCCTTATTTTGACTCTGAAACCTTACTTTCTTCTATCGCAAATATCTAGAATTTTACATTCTAGATTGAAAGATATATTTTTCATCGGAAGCAGGACTCATGACCAAGCTTTAAGATGAAACCAATAACTCCACATGTGCCCAAAAATGTATGAGCACCTGATTCCAGTGCGTCGTGAGACATTACATATATATATATATATGTTGTTGTTGTTGTTATCGATCCAGCAACAGCTGGGCTCTCGCCCTTCTGTCCAATGCCATGTAGTGATAAGTGCAGGTTTGCTGCAGTTGATGTAATGTTCCATAGAGTGTGTTGTCAATGTTAGGTCTCGGAGGGAGAAGGGTAGCCTGGATGTCATTTAGGGCTGTGCAGTGGAACAGGTGATGCTCCACAGTCTCATATGCATAGTTACACAAGGGACACATTGGGGGAAGTTCCGGGTTTATTCTGTTCAGGTGGAAGTTGAGCTGTATATGTTCTGTTCGTAGGCGGAAGATCGTGGTCTGTTTCTTTCTCTGAAGGCGGTTGATATTGTCATTCCTTTTTGTTGTGGTCATATGTTTGAAAACTGCTCTGCTTGTCTTTCCCAGGGCCCATCTGTTCATCCAATCTTGTTTGTTGTTGCTTTTGATGATTTGTTTTGCAGTGTTGTATGAAGTTGGAGTGTTGGGTTGATCCTGTCTAGATCCCCGTTTGGCAAGTGTGTCTGCACTGTCATTTCCAGGTATGTCTGAGTGTCCGGGGACCCACTGCATTACTAGGTTGATGCCACAGGATGTTTTCAGATGATGGGATCCAAACAGTATATGGGTCAAATCTTGGTTTAGATGATGGTCATTTTCTATGGCTTGTAATACTGATAGTGAGTCAGTGAAAATCACAATACTCTGTGCTTTTCCAGGATGAGTGTCAAAAACTGTGCGGAGAAGGTACAGTGCTGTTTCAATTGCCATCATTTCTGCATCGTAGTTGCTGCATTTCTCTCCACAGGCTGCAGAGATCTCATTAGAACTTCCATCTGGGTCATGTATTAGTATTCCATATCCGGCTTTGGTTGTGCCTTTGAATGCTGAGCCGTCCGTATAGACGTGTATCCAGTCGTCTGAATAGCTGTCGATTGTTTGATGTGATGCAAGCATCAGCGTCACTGGGTCTGAAGATTTTGTGCTATTGTCTTTGAGAGATGTTGTAATGATTGGCTTTTTTAAAGAAAGGTGGGGAGGGATGTTTTGGTTGACTCTTTTGGTTTATTTTCTGTTTTGTGGCAGATGGTGACTCTCCATTAGTTCTGTGATGTGATGCATGATTGACTTTTGTTGAATTCGTTTCTTTGGTTTCCATGTTTCTACTAATTTCCTGTTTGGGTGGTTGGGCCACATTCTTTTAGTTCTTTCATGTAGCTCCAAAACTGCTATATATATAAATCTCTGCGGATTCCCAGGGGTTCAACATTTGCAAGGATTTCGCACGCTGCGGTAGGTGTGGATCTCATGTTATATATATATATATATTTATATATATATATATATATATATATATATATATATAAAGAACTTTCTATTTATTTGAAAAGTACTTTGTCATCAGTTTTTGAAAAAATGAATAGTAATGCTTTATGCAGTGGAAGGAAAACTTTTAGGCATACCATGCTTCGGCTGCCACCCAGGGAAAAATTCAAAATTTCCTACTTCCTACTAGCTGAAAATGTTGAATATTCCCGCATGCTCATATGACCTTATGCATTTGTGAGTGCCGCAAACCACTTCCCCCCCCCCCCCACAAAAAGGCCTACCATAACAGAGTTCCAGAATTCTCTGATATGTCAAAGTTGTCCTCTTTTCTTTTTTTGCGGATCAAAGTTTTTGGGCAGTTAACATCTTTTTTTTTTTTAACGGAGGGGATTCAGAGAGTTCCTTGAATACAAAGCTCTAATTTTACAACACTTCACTATATTAAATGATGCCCTTGAATATCGTCTTGTAGGTGTCATGGTACATACGTAAGTCCTACCTTTTCGATGTTTTGTGTACCTTTTACATAGTTCTCTGCATTGTTTTAATTTATATTGTAAGAAGCTCAGTTTCAAGAGCTATGCTGCTTCCTACACTGGTTGTAAGATGTGACTGTTTTTTAACCCTTTATCTCCAGCGGCTCATCATCACAGCGGCCACCCCATCAGGACAGTGTTACTGACTGAAGTGTCTTTCGGCCTGTCCCAAAGGGGGGATATTAACCTGATCTTATGCGCAGTAGAATTGTGAATGGGCTGATTTAGCAATGTCATATACTGCGCCGGAACAACATAGGGGGAACTGCTGCTTTTTCTTTCCTCATCCTTACTGTCATCATTTTCCCTCTACTTCTTTTGTATGTTTGTCACTCTCTTGTGAACTACTATTTCCGGGTGCCTTGATAGTCGAAGCAGACTTTGTGCTGTTGAGACTAGAGAGGTGAGCAGTCTAAGTCTGATTCCCCGTTTGGATTTTTCTGTTAACATCCACCCCTTGGCGCTCATATGACCTTATGCAGTTGCAAGCGCGGCAAATCCTTACTAAAACAGCACAGCGGCTCTGACCATGATAGAGCCACTGGGAGCAACTTGCCACAAACAAGAGTTAAGATGACTATCGTGTTTTAATTATTTGATTTGGTTTGAAAGACTGTATCAACACACTGCAAATTAGAAGTTGGAGAAAAAGAGCCGTCCCCTGTTTTTATATTTATAAAACTAAGGCAAAACATGTTCTGGAAAGGAGCAGAATCTTGCAGATCAATGCTAGTGGTCAAATTCTCGATAAATTGAGGACAACCAGTTGTCTCTGCATGAAGATCCGAATGAATAAAGAATTAATGGGAATGAAACCTTTCTTTCTCTGCTAGAGACAAATTTCAAAGTAAAAAGCACAAAAATGTCTAAAGCATAAATTTTAAAAAGCAAAATAATAAGACAGTTGATTCGTTGTGGCCGTCTGATTTCTAACCTTTGTTATTGTTTTTGTTTTGGTAAGGTTTTACGGCGCTCGCAACTTCTAACCTTTCCTCTGTGTTCACAGCGTCAGTCCAGGTTCCTCGTACTGTCGAGTCACAATTGAGGATGATGGGAAAAGCGTCACAGAGGTTGAGGTGGAGTTCTTTCACCTCGGTGGCTCCGAGAGATGTACCGTGGAGAGTGAAAGGATTGAGTTTTCCATTGAAGGCAGAGAAGGTAAAATGTTCGAATGTCAGTTGATGGAAACCAATTATCACTTTGCGGTCACTTGGCGCAATAATGCGACTGTGAAAATTATATCCGTTCCGGTCCCCTGGCGCCAGGCCCGAGAAATCTGTTGCAGTCGCTCTCCTGGCTGGGTGACCAGATGGGATATTTTGTACTGCTGCTGGCTGTGTGACTGCAAAATGTTAAGACAAAAAAAATGTGTCACGACATGGTGGAATCAGGCGCTGGTCAATTTTTGGGCATGTGGAGTTATTGGTACCATCTGAAAGCTTATAAATTCATTTGCCTTGCTTTCAATGAAGAAAGTATCCATCTAGCTTGAATAGAAGTTGAAATATTTGCGATTAAAGAAAGTGGGGTTGCCTGGTTCCAGTGGTTAGATTAATGAGAAAATGGCCCCCAAATTCTGATATATAACTTCAATAGCTTAATTGAGAGTCCTTGAAAACGGAAAATTACATATTTTGTGCTTTTAAACAAAGTTTTTCAGTAAAATTCACAAGGAAATGTCTTTCGTATGAACATAGAAGAAGGTGTTTAGCCCCCCCCAAAATTCAATAAAAATTGCCAAACTAGTGGAAAAATGCCTTTTCCTTGAATTTAATTATTTTGACCTGATTTGACCACGATGTCTCACAAATGCCTTTAACACAATGTTTCTTGTTTTAAATTTGTCTGTAAAATGTGAAGTTCAGGAATAGATATGTATAGGTTTTTCCACTTCTTTGAAGATCTTTTTGTACCTGGATCGATAACAACAAGATTTTTTGTACTGCTTTGGTTATTGTTTTATTTGGATCAAGCTAATATAGCGTTTACGTAGCGTAATGAAATTAAAGTGTTCCGTTTCTTACTCCAAAACTCAAAATTTATTTTGGATTTGTTTCATGTCATTCTTTTCTAGATGTGTGGTTGAATTATTGTTGGTTTTTTTTTGTAATGAACGTCCTTGCTCAAAATGATCAGGGATGGTTGGAAGACACTTCTAGTAGGTCCCACTAACTTTCTTTCTCCTTATTTTTTTCTGTCTGTCTTTTTCATTAATATAATGTTGATGTACTTCTATTTTTCTTCATCCCCCGGGGCAGTGCCACTGACTGAAGTGTCTTTAGGCCATTCCCAAATGGAGGACATTTCTCGTTCTTATGCACAGTAAAATTGTAAATGGGCTGATTCAACAATGTCATGCTCATAACTGTGCCTGAACTACAATAGGGAACTGCTGCTTTTTCTTTCCTAATCCATACTATCATCATTTTTCATCTACTTCTTTTGTATGTTTGTCACACTCTTGTGACCCGCTATTTCCGGGGTGCCTTGATAGTTGAAGCAGACCTTGTGCTGTTGAAGCTAGAGAGATGAGCAGAGTAAGTCTGATTCCCTGTAAAGACTTCTCTGTTGACATCCACCCCTTGGCGCTCATATGACCTTATGTAGTTGCGAGTGCCTAAAACCTCCACTAAAACAAACAAGCTCCATAATGGAAGGGGACATGATTTTTGCTTGGAAGGGAGTATGCAGGCTTGCCAACCTTCCTGAATTTTTCAGGAAATTCCAGAATTGCCATTGTCGCGCTATGTCTCCCACCCCCCCCCCCAAAAAAAGATTATTTTTTCTTAGAAAAGGCATAGAAATGCTGAGGGCGAAGGAATATGTGTAGTAGCTGTACTGTTACATTCTCATCTCTCTCTCTCTCTCTCTCTGTATCTCCACTGGTTTGTTTGAGCTGTTTTTGTGGTATGGGTGTTGTTGTTTTTTTGTAGCCTATCTCAGAAGTGTGTGTCGTGGCGCTCAGGAGCAATAAAAATTCCAGAATTCAGTATCTCAAAAGTAGGCAAGCCTGAGTATGTTATCACGCCAGCGTTTTACATGCAGTTTGCAGTTTGGCTGACACGCATTATCTAACCACATACTTTGCTGCGGACAAAATTATGTCCACAGACTTGTTATATTTGTGTTTTCAATGTAAATGCATGTTTTCATCTCAGAAATGCGCGGTCCTATCGGAGACGGACGTTAAATTAGGAGGTCCCACCTCTTAAATAACCTAATAGTGTTGATAGGGGCGTTAAACTCATACCATTTTTTCAGAAATGCGTAATGTTAGAAGAGAAAGAAGTGTTTAATTTATTGATTTTGCACGTTGTTTTCTTTCAGATGTGTTCGTTTGGTGTGGTCAGACGTATGCCAAGACCCTGCAGTACTCCGGAAAAATGAGTCTGACTTATCATTTTAATCAAAAGACTGGATCTCCGGGTTTTCAGATGATCTTCAGAACAAGTGAGTCAGGGCAGAGGTTTTGGTTGTCTTGGAGTAAATGATTTATAAATGACACAGGTTTTGAAGAGATGTAGCTGATGAATTAGCAGCAACGAAGAGAGAGGAATTTCTGCTGACTTTTCCTCGAGTGAAAAAAACCACATAATTTTCTGGCACAGTTTTTCAGGAGGGCACAGATAATGCGAACACTGGAAACTTGAAATCACGGATAGCTTGAGTAGATTGCCATTCTCCCTCCGCCTGATATTTCTTTAACCCTTTTTGAGCCATACTGGCCTAAACTGGCCTTCCCATGATGTTGTCATACCGTCTTTTACCGGCTTTCCTGCTGTAGAGCCATACAGGATTTTACCGGCCTGACCATCCGCATTTAGTGCAGGTTTAGAAACAAGAACATTCCCCTCTAAGTTTAGATTTTGACATCCTTGGTCTTTTTATGTAAACTTGCATTGAAATACATCGCTTAGATCAAAAGCAAAAGCAACTTCTTTGCTGCACCCCCTGAACCTCTGAAAAACACTGAAATAATTCAGTTCTGGGAAGCCATCAGCTGGCTGCATTTTTAGTTCTGCTGTACTGACCTGCTGACCAATATATGGTGATGAGAGAGTTCATTTTTCTTTATCGTTTAACCGGAATTAAGGATGTGTTTAACACATTTGTCAGTGCACGGCGTATTTGATTTATTTTTATTCTTACCCGACTGTGCCTATTTTTTCTAAAGGGTTCACTTCATGTCCTCATAGTTAGTTGGTTGAGCATAGCTGAAGTTGTCAAATTAGGAAAACGGACAGAACTCGGCTACTTATGCTTTCATCTCTTTGGCTTAGGCACTTTGCTGGACTGGATATGTGTCAAGTGGAATTTTTGCAGAAAATTTATGTGATGTCTGTGGTCAGGGGGTTAGGCTGTCGGGCTTGTAACTTACGGGTCATGGGTTGGAACCCCATCAGGGGCCTAATTTTGTGTCATTGAGAAAGGCTCTTTACATGAGTTGGACATTTTTGGCCGATTTGAGTTCATAAGACAGTGAGGTCAAAAACTAAAATGTTCCATCAACTCTATCAAAATGGGAAGATTATTCGGAGTTGTTATCCAGATATTCAAAGAATCGCATTCTAAAAAGCTTGACATATTATGAAACTCAAAATTTCCAATGTCAAATTTCTCAAAACTAGGTGCTGAGTAGATAGAACTTTGTAATTCTAGGAAAGTGATTCGTATGACCTGATTGTGAATTGTGTTGCCAGTGCTGTAAAACTCTTACTAAAAAAACTAAGCCAACTGATTGTGTATGGTTTTGCAAGTGCTGTAAAACTCTTACTAAAAAACTAAGCCAACTGATTGTGTATGGTGTTGCAAGTGCTGTAAAACTCTTACTAAAAAAAACTAGGCCAACTGTGTAAGGTGTTGCAAGTGCTGTAAAACTCTTACTAAAAAAAACTAAGCCAACTGATTGTGTATCCTGTTACGAATGCTGTAAAACTTTTACTAAAAAAAAACCTAAGCCAATTCTGATTATGAGTTCTCTCGTCTCTTCTTTCCCCCTCCTCAGAGCCGGCCGAGGGTTATGCATGCCCCCAGCAGCCCCCGACCCTACAGGCTGGTGTGGTGCCCATGCTTCTGTACACCACAGGCTTTTTCCCTCTGAGGACACAGTAAGTGACGGGGTTGGCGGGTACTCTGGTGTGGTTTTCTTCTTCTTTCCTATCAATCATTTATTAGTGGGTGGTTGGCGGGTACTCTGGTGGGGTTTGCTTCTTCTTCCCTATCAAACATATTTTATAGTCCTTATCTCTCCTCCTCCTTTTTTGTGTTTGTTACTCTCTTGTAACACCTCTAATCTTCGGCACTTATATGACCTTATTGTGTTGCAAGTGCCGTAAAACTCTTACTGATACTAAGTTTCAAAATAGTACGTGGGTGGTTAGCGGGTGCTTCGGTGGGGTTTTTCTCCTTTTTTCCTGTCCATCTTTTATCATACTTATATTCTCTACTCTTTCTTTTCTGGATGATTGGCGGGTGCTCTGGTGTGGCTCGCACTTTCGTTTCAATCCATCATCTATCTTTCTTATCTCTCTTCTTCCTTTTCTTTGTATGTTGCTGTTTGGTAACGTCATTATTCTTGGGCACTTACATGACCTTATTGTGTTGCGTACTGCGCAAAACTGGAACTAAAACGAAAAAAACCCAAACTTGGTGCACTGTCTATCTGTTATGTGACTCATCTTGTTAACGGCCTCTCGGCATTAAATAGTTCTTCGTACCGACTTATGACACCATGTTTTGGTATATGTGTCACGACACGGCGGAATCAGGCGCTCATCAATTTTTTGGGGCACGTGGAGTTATTGTTTGTTAGTCTTGCTCCGATGAAAATAAAATCATTCATCTTGGATACAGTTCGAGATATTGGTGATTGAAGAAGGTGGGGCTCACCTGGTTTCAGAGGTAAAATTAGGGAGAAATTGACTGCCAAAGTTTAGTTATTTCCTTAACTTGAGAGCCCATGGAAACTGAAAATATACATGTTTTGCATCTTTAATCATCGTTTTTCAGTGAAATCCACACAGAAATGTGTTCTTTAATGAACATGATATGAGCGTAAAAGGTGTTTTAGACGAAGAACAAAAACTTTATAAAGCTTCCCAAACCTGCGGGAAAATGCCAGTTTCTTCACTTTCATTATTTTGAAGAGCGCCTGATTTCACCATGCTGTTTCATCATTGGATTTCTTGTAGTGTAGTGTTTAGTTGGGTCTCATTCTTATATATATATTTATATAATATATATGTATATATATATACACAAGTAAAGTTGAGCTGCTCCCTGGGGCGGTGCCACTGACTGAAGTGTCTTTGTGGGTGGTAGGCGGGTCTACTGGTGTGGTTTGCTCCTTCTTTCCTGTCGAACAACTATCGTCTTTTAACTCTCCTTTTTCTTTTTTATGTTTGTTACTCTCTTGTAACACCTCTAGTCTTCGGCACTTATATGACCTTATTGTATTGCAAGTGTCGTAAAACTGTTACTAAAAAAAAAAAAAGAAGTGTCTTTAGGCCATTCCCAAACGGGGGACATTAACCGTGTTCTTATGCACAAGATAATTTGTAATTGCAAATGGGCTGATTCATCAATGTCATGCTCATAGCTGTGCCTGAACTGCAACAGGGAACTGCTGCTTTTTTCTTTCCTCATCCTTACTTCGTCATTTTTCCTCTACTTCTTTTGTATGTTTGTCACACTCTTGTGACCTGTTATTTCCTGGGTGCCTTGATAGTCGAAGCAAACTTTGTGCTGTTGAAGCTAGAGAGGTGAGCAGAGTAAGTCTGATTCCCTTTAGGAACTTCTCTGTTGACATCCACCCTTGGCGCTCATATGACCTTATGCTGTTGCGAGCGCCGTAAAACTAAAACAACCAAACAAAGTAAAGTTTTACTCTTTGTCTCAGTTACAGAGCTTCCAGCCTCTAATGGTTCCAGTAAACTCTCTCTCCTCTGGGCTCTGGTACTTTGCAACTTGTTTGTTGTTTTCATACTTTCTGCCACAAGCTGACGAATCACTTTTTTTTTCATTTTGGCTCCAACATTTTTTATTTGCTTAATCGAAAGCCTGATCAGTAACTCTACTTGTGTGAAAACAAATCAAATTGTAACTGTGACTAGTTTTCAAATAAATTAGAATTCAAATATGGGAATGACTCTATTTTAAAATGTTTTAAAATGATTATGCTAACAAAAAAAATCCCTCTTTTTCTCAAAACTGCTCTGAAGAAAAAAAAAGGGTGTTTTGCCAGCTGACGGCAGGTTTGTGTTTTCATCTTACTTGTTGTAGGTTCCTGTGCTGTTTTCATTTGATTTTGGTTCCTGTTTACCTTGTTGTTAAAAATTTTTTTTCACCATTTCTTGGGAATGGAAGGGAACTCTGTGGTTTAGGTTTCAAAGTGGGTGGTTGGAGAGTGCTCTGGTGTGGTTTGCTTCTTCTTTCCTGTCAAACATCTATCGTCCTTATCTCCCCTTCTTCTTTTTTATGTTTCTCTCTTGTAAAACCTCTAATCTTCTGGCGCTCATATGATCTTATGCAGTTGCGAGCGCCGTAAAACTTCTACTAAAACTAAACTAAACTAGGTTTCAAAGCCAGTGCACTGTACAGAAATGTCCACTGAGACAGACACAGACAGAAGAGTTCCTCCTATAATGAAACAATACTGGTGACAAACATTCCATTAAAATGTTGTGTTTTTTTTGGTTGTGGTATTTTATGTCAATGTTTGCTCCTTTCTCAATTTATTTCTATTTTTATCATAACCTGAAGTTGACTCATCATTTTCCTGAGACCTCTTTATCGTCTCCTTTGCAGGAAATTGACTTGTGTTTCTTTCTGGTTCTTTTTTTGTTTGTTTGTTTGTTCTATTCCCCTTGTTGTGAGTGGGCGGTATGAATTGTGTGCGTGGGTGGTTAGAGGGTGCTCTGGTGTGGTTTGCTCCTTCTTTCCTATCAAACATCTATCGTCCTTATCTCTCCTCGTCCTTTTTTTTTAGTGTTTGTTACTCCCTTTTAACACCTCCTATCTTTGGCACTTATGTGACCTTATTGTGTTGCAAGTGCCGTACAATTCTTTCTAAAACTAAACTCTTGCTTAAACTAAAAGGGCTGTAAAACCTTTACTCAAACTGAAACTAAACACTTTCGTGGCGTCGGTGGCCTAGTGGTTAGGCTACCGCACGTGTAATCGTGAGATTGCGGGTTCGGGGGTTCGAGCCTCAGCTCGGTCGTCCGACGCTATGTCCTTGGGAAAGAAGGCACTTTACACGAATTTCCCACTTGTCTCATTCCTTTCGGAGATGGACGTTAAACTCGGAGGCTTCGCCTTTTAAATAACATAATCGTGTTGATAGGGGCGTTAAACCTATAATAGTGGGTGGTTGGCGGGTGCTCTTTCCTATCAAACATCTATCGTCCTTTAACTCCCTTTTTTCTTTTTTATGTTTGTTACTCTCTTGTAACTCCTCTAATCTTCTGGCGCTCATATGACCTTATGCAGTTGCGAGCGCCGTAAAACCTCTAATAAAACTAAAAACACTTTTCCCCTCTCAGGCCTCTCAGCTGTGAGTGGAACCTGGAGTCAGACCAGCGTGAGATGATCGTGTTTCACATCAGAGACATCTTTGGGGATTCTCCCTGCTACGATTTGAGTGCCACCCTTGGGGGCCCTGAAATTGGTGAGTCGGCCCTGTGGGTGGGGTGGTTGGCGGATGCTCTGGTGTGGTTTGCTTCTTCTTTCCTATCAAACATCTATCTTCGATACTTCGTCTCATCCTTTTTTGTGTTTGTTATTCTCTTGTAACACCTCTAATCTTGGGCACTTATGCGACCTAATTGTGTTGTAAGTAAAAAACTCTTACTAAAACTAAACTTTTCATCTGCTCTTTCTGTCTGTTAGTCTTCACTTTCTGTCTGTTCTTTCTTTCATAAAAAAAAAAAAATGAAATTCTGTCTCACTTTTTCCTTGCACAAAGAGATTTTTATTGCATTTATATGCACCTCTTTCCTCAAACAAACGAACAAGCAAGCGAGTAAATGAACAAACGAACAAGCCTGTGGTGGCGTGATTGTACATCTGAATCTTGAAACCAAGCGAACCCGTCGTCCTTCAATCGCGTGTATCTCGACTTCTGTTCAAGATAGATGGGTATCCTTTTCATAAAAGGCGAGACAAATGAATACGTCGAAAGATATGATACCGATAACTCCTCACGATGTCAAAAAATGTATTTTACGGCTGTCTGTTATTAGAGTGACTATTTTAGCAAATATAAGACCACTTTGAAAGTCTCTGTTCAAAGTTGATTTTTTTTTTTTTCGATTTCACGGCTGTGTGCTATCTGAGTGACTTTTTCTCCCTCCAATAATAAGATTATTCTGAAATTCCCAGCTCAAAGCCTTTTTTTCTTCGTACACATCTGTCTGTTATTAGAGTGACTTTTTGTCCAGCAATAAAACGACTTGGAAAGTCTCTGTTCAAAGGCTTTCTTTTTTTGTATCTATTTCACGGCTGTCTGCTATTAGAGTGACTATTTTTAAAAAGATAAGGCCGCTTTGAAAGTCTCTGTTCAAAGTTGTTTTAAACTAGTACAATCACCAAAATGCCAGTGTGGAAAGGCGGACCAAACTGTTGAACACATCCTTCAGCACTGCAAGACACACAGAGCCCTGAGACAGGAAACGTGGCCAACCCCACTGATGCTACAAGAGGAGCTATACGGGCCGACAGATGAACTGAACGGGACGGCCCAATTTATGACAGATACCAGACTTCAAGTGTGATGCGATCGAGAAGAAGAAGAAGAATTTGGTTGGGGTTTTTTCTGTTGTATCTATTTCACAGCTGTGTGTGCCATCAGAGTCATTCTTTCGCCAACAATAAGATCACGTTGGAAGTCTCTGTTCAAAGGCTTTCTTTTTTTGTATCTATTTCACGGCTGTCTGCTATTAGAGTGATTATTTTAACAAAAATAAGACCACTTTGAAAGTCTCTGTTCAAAGTTGGGTGTTTAAAAAAATCTATTTCACAGCTGTGTGCTATCAGAGTGACTTTTTCACCAACAAAAAGATCACGTTGAAAGTCTCTGTTCAAAGGCTTTCTTTTTTTGTATCTATTTCACAGCTGTGTGCTATCAGAGTGACTTTTTCGCCAGCAATAAGACCACTTTGAAAATTTCCGTGAAGGAACAGAGATGGGGTGTGGAAAACTATGGACTGGCCTTGGAATACGTGGAAGGGTCTAAAGGTGAGGAATGAGAAGCTTTTGTTTCCCTGTGTGTACTGCGTAAATGTGTTTGTGTGTTCATCGGTGAATTTGTTTTTAGGCTAACTGTTTGTTGGCTCTCTTATGAGCACCATGAATAGGTCAGCAGGTCAGCACAGCAGAACCCTCCCCCCGCGGCGGTGCCACTGACTGTAGTGTCTTTAGGCCATTCCCAAAGGAGGGGGGACATTTCTCGTTCAAGCACAGTAGAATTGTAAATGGGCTGACTCATGTCACGCTCATAACTGCCTGATCTACAACAGGGAACTGCTGCTTTTTCTTTCCTAATCCTTACTATTGTCATTTTCCTCTACTTCTTTTGTATGTTTGTCACTCTCTTGTGACCTGCTATTTCCGGGGTGCCTTGATAGTCGAAGCAGACTTTGTGCTGTTGAAGCTAGAGAGGTGAGCAGTCTAAGTCTGATTCCCTGTAAAGATTTCTCTGTTGACACCCACCCCTTGGCGCTCATTTGACCTTATGCAGTTGCGAGCGCCGTAAAACCCTCTACTATAAAAAAACCCCAAAAAACCTCTACTGAAACTAAAAACTCTTACTAAAACTAAAACAGACTGCTGAAAAATGAGAAAAGAGTGGCTTCCCCTCCTCAGTTTTTGACCCAGGTGGGAAACTGAATTGTGGGCATTTTTAATTTATGAATGAAAATACCGATTATACATTAGCTACAGTCTCTCCTCTCACGACGTTCTGCACTACTTCATATGGAATGTCACATCAGCTGCACGTGATCGAAATGGCAGCTCCCACTAGATCTAACTTTGTAACGAGAACCCAGTCGAATTAAAATGTACGCAGTCTTCTCGACAGTCTGTACGAGGATGACATCAGTGATACAGAGGGTGAAACAAACGCCCCAGTTCTGAACAATTTACACATTGTCATCCTGAATGTTTTACGGATTACCGTACAAACCCTGTTTACGAACTTTGAACTGAACACACTGACAAAAGCACACGAATGAAACAGAACAAACATTGAAATAACTTTGAGTAGAAAATGTATTCCCGACTCTTTGATTTATACATTTTTTAATTCTTCATTCATTTGTGGTTATTATGATGTTTGTGTGATACAAGTTTCTAGCTTCAGTGGGGTGTGTTTTATGACTCTTTTTCTGACATTACCTTGTGTCAGTTTAGCTAGGCAAAAATAATGATTGCCGCAGAGGGACCATGGAGTTCAGAAATAACCCACTCCTTTTTGATCTTATGGAAAAACTGAGGGCAAAGGACATAGGGTTAGACCAAGAACGGTGGGTTGTTGGCGGGTGCTCTGGTGTGGTTTGCTTCTTCTTTCCTATCAAACATCTATCGTCCTTATCTCCCCTTCTTCTTTTTTATGTTTGTTACTCTCTTGTAACACCTCTAATCTTCTGGCCCTCATATGACCTTATGCAGTTGCGAGCGCCGTAAAACCTCTACTAAAATAAATAATAGACCAAGAACAAGTTGCCTTTTAAACATGAACAGACTTGTGACGGAAAAGATCAGTCCAGTGTAGTTAAAAAAAATTTTTTTTTTTAAAGAGCACCTGAGGAGAGAAATGAGTGCCAATCATGATTGCCATTGTCTTGTTTCAGATGCACTGATCATATTACGTTACTGTTGTATTGTAAAGCGCTCACAGCCTGTGTGCTTTAATCGGCGTTGAGCGCTATGTAAATTCCATATTTTATTATTATTATTATTATTATTATTACTATTATTTATTATTATTTTATTTTTTATATTGAAAAAACCCAAACTATCTGGCACTGCGTAATGATGATGATAATGATAATTATTTTTGTCCTCATAATTTGTTTCATTTTGAGCCGTTGCCAGTTGAGGTCGGGGTTGACTCTTCAATTTGTCTCTTTCTTTCAGAGGTGATCATCTGTCAAGACGGCACCAGTGTCCAAGAGTACAATGTTCCCTCTCACGACGTTCTGCACTACTTCATATGGAATGTCACACAGTAAGTCTGAGGTACTCGCTCCCCCCCTCTCCCCCCCACTCAGCCCCCGGGGCAGTGCTACTGACTGAAATCTCTTTAGGCCATTCCCAAAGGGTGGGGGAGGGGGGGACATTAACATATTCTTATGCACAGTGGAATTGTAAATGGACACATTAAACATTTTCAATTTGGGAGGATTTTCCTGGATATCTGACATAGACCCCTGACTGCAGGTGGGTGGTAGGCTGGTGCTCTGGTGTGGTCTACTTCTTCCTTCCTATCACACATCTATCGTCCTTATCTCCCCTTCTTCTTTTTTATGTTTGTTACTCTCTTGTAACACCTCTAATCTTCTGGCGCTCATATGACCTTATGCAGTTGCGAGCGCCGTAAAGCCCTCTACTAAAACTAAACTAAACCTGACTGCATTTATTTTTTTAACAAGTCGCTACCCTTGAATTACAAAGTTCTATTTGCTCAGTACGCAGTTTTGAGAAATTTGACGCGAAAAGTTTTTGAGTTTCACAACATATGTAGCTTTTTTGAAATGCAGTTATCTTGATGATGACTACTGCAGATTATCATACAATTTGTTGTGGTTTTTTTATGTCAAGATGTATGGGTGTTGTTTACCATGTACCCCCCCCCCCCAAGGGCAGTGCTACCGACTGAAGTGTCTTTAGGCCATTCTCAAAGGAGGGATATAATATGTTCTTATGCACAGTAGAATTGTAAATGGGCTGATTTATCAATGTCATGCTCATACTGTGCCGCAACAACTAAAGGGGAATTGCTGTTTTTTCTTTCCTCACTCTTGCTATCGTCATTTTTCCTATACTTCTATTGTATGTTTGTCGCACTCTTGTGACCAGCTATTTCCGGGGTGCCTTGATAAGCGAAGCAGACCTTGTGCTGTTGAAGCTAGAGAGGTGAGCAGAGTAAGCCTGATTCCCTGTAAGGACTTCGTTGTTGACATCCACCCCTTGGCGCTCATATGACCTCATGCAGTTGCGAACGCCCTAAAACGTTACTAAGTGAGTGGTTGGCGGGCGCTCTGGTGTGGTCTGCTCCTTCTTTCCTATCAAACATCTATCGTCCTGATTTCTCCTCCTTCTTTTTTGTGTTTGTTACTCTCTTGTAACGCCTCTAATCTTCGGCACTTATATGACCTTATTGTGTTGCAAGTGCTGTAAAACACTTGCTAAAACTAAAGAGAGGTGAGCAGAGTAAGCCTGATTCCCCGTTTGGACTTCTCTGTTGACATCCACCCCTTGGCTCTCACATGACCTTATGCAGTTGCGAGCGCCCATAAAACCTTACTAAAACTAAAGACTAAACCACCCCTTGGCTCTCATATGACCTTATGCAGTTGCGAGCGCCCGTAAAACCTCTACTAAAACTAAAAACTAAACCACCACTTGACGCTCACATGACCGCATGCAGTTGCGAGCGCCCGTAAAACCTTAATCATCATCTGGTGCCTTGCCGACTGGCGTGGCCGATCATGGACCTCCACTTAACTCTGTCTTGCGTTGCAGCAATGGTGTCTGTTGTTCTTGCTGCTCCTAGCCATGTTGTCATCTTGTCCAGTATCTTTTCCCTCTGTCTGCCTCTGCCTGTCTTTCCATCAAACTTGCCTGTTGTTACAGTATTCTCCAATGCTTCTTTCCGCTTTGTGTGTCCGAAGAAATTTGCCTGTCGCTTTCTTACATTCGTCATAAGCTGTCTTCTGCAATTTGCTTCAACCAAGACTTCTTCATTTGTTTTTCTAGCTGTCCATGGGATACGTAGCATGCGTCTTATGAACCACAACTCTGTCGCCACAATTGTTATGACGTTCTTGGGAAAGAATACATCAGTGGTTTCCTCTTGCCTTCTGCTGTATTTTTGCACGGTTTTACTTTGCCCATAACACCTCTACTAAAACCAAAAACTTGGTTTGACCATGTTTCAGGGGAGATTCCTGCACGTTTGACCTGGTGGCAGACCCAAGCAATCCGCAGATTGACCTCACCTTCGCCATTCCGCCCAACCAGATGTCAGCCTCTGGCGGGCTGGAGGCCCTGCTCCGAGATTTTAGCGTGGAGGTTGAGGACGGTGAGTGCCATATGGTCTCGCTTTATGTCAGCAAAGATCGTACATAATAAGATAGTTCACTCCTCTCTTTGAGCCAATTAAAAAAGTGTCCTCAAAATCCGGTGGCGCCCTCTTCGAAAAAATGCGGACTTTGCAAACAGAGTTGCCCTACTTGTGTGAAAAACAATAAAAACAAAATTAACAAACTGTGCTATTCCTATTTTTCTTCTGGAGAAACGAAAGAGAGCTTCAAAGCAAAGACTGCAGCGCCATCTGAGGCAATGCGCGGACATCCGTAGACATTTTTTTAGCCGAGTGAACAATCATGTTATATACGATCTTTGATGTTGGCTTGGGGGGGGGGGGAGGGGGGGGAGGATGTGCTGGACATTCTTCTTTGTACGCGATCGCAAGGCATTGTGGTTAAAACAGGCGCTCGTCAAAATAATGGGAATCGGAAGAAAGTGGCATTTTTCATTCCCGTTTGACAATATTCATCTAATTGTTTTTTTCTTTGGCTCAACACCTTTTTATGTCCATTTGAAAACACATTTATGTGTAAATTTTACTGAACAAAGTTAATGAAAGTTAAAGGCACAGAAAATGTTACTTTGCAGTTCCCAAGGACTCTCAAACTTTGGAAGTCACCAAACTTTGGCGGCCATTTTCTCGCTAATTTTACCTCGGAAAGTAGGTGACCCCCACCTCCTTCAATCGCTAATATCCCGACTTCTTTTTAAGATAGATGAATAATTTTTTTTCATTCTAAGCAAGACAAGTGAGCAAGTTCCAAGATGGTACCAATAACTCCATATGCCCCAAAGTTGAGGATCGCCTGATTCCACTGTGTTGTGACTCATATGCTGCCTGGTTGGGTTTTTGTGGGTTTTTTTTGTTCTATTCGAAATGTCTTTCCCTCATGGGGATCAATAAAATGATATTTGTTACTTACCATTATTATTATTAGTAGTAGTAGTAGTAGTAGTAGTGTTATTATCATTATTATTGTTATAACCATTATTATGATAATAATTATTATTATTATTATCATCATTACTATTATTTTTATTATCTTTATTATTAATATTTTCATTTTTCATTATTATTATTGTTGTTATTATCATTACCATTATTGTTATTATCTTTATTATTAATGTTATCATTTGTCATTATTATTATTATTGCTATTATCACTACTACAGATTAACACTTTGCTACCCCCCACCCGGGGCAGTGCTTCTGACTGTAGTGTCTTTAGGCCATTCCCAAAGGGGGGACATTTCTCGTTCAAGCATAGTAGAATTGTAAATGGGTTGATTCATGTCAGGCTTATAACTGTGCTTGATCTACAACAGGGAACTGCTGCTTTTTCTTTCCTGATCCTTACTATTGTCATTTTTCCTCTACTTCTTTTGTATGTTTGTCACTCTCTTGTGGCCTGCTATGTTGGGGTGCCTTGATAGTCGAAGCAGACCTTGTGCTGTTGAAGCTAGAGAGGTGAGCAGACTAAGTCTGATTCCCTGTAAAGACTTCTCTGTTGACACCCATCCCTTGGCGCTCATATGACCTTATGCAGTTGCGAGTGCCGTAAAACCCTGTACTATTAACCAAAAAAAAAAAAAAGTGTTAAGCCAGTTTTTGGGCCAAATGAGGTTGTCCTAGTGTATTTTCTTGACCCTCCGCGGCTCTGATTCTCTGTCTTCAGGTCCAATGACTGCGGTCAACGAGTTCCGCGGTCGACAGGCATTGCGGAACCTACAGTCTGCGGATAGGAGGGTGTCCCTGACCTACACCAAGACGGGGTCCAAAAACATCATCGATATGTTTAGGACCCGCGCTTACGAGCCAGGTTATTTCAGTGTTTTCTCGCAGCGGCTGTTTCACCTCGTATTTATTATGGTTGTCATTGTTGTTGTTGTTTGTTGTTGTTGTTGTTGTTTTTTTTGTTCTTTTTGCTCTGGTGTGGATGGGTGTTTTGTCACCACAAGAAATGAACAACAGTGGGTGTTGACAAATGGACACAGTGGGTGGTTGGAGGGTGCCGCTGGTTGGTACTACTTCTTTACTTTCCCTCTCTCTGTTGTTTCTGTCTGTCTGTCTCACTTTTTTTCAGCACGGAATCACCGTTGTTTTGTCGATGTTTCCCTTTATTACTCAAACAAACAAACAGACAAGTCAACAGAAAATAGATCCTAGAAATCAGAAAGAGGAAATGGAAGAAGATTGGATACGCCTTGAGAAAATGAAAAACAGAACAGTGCCCAACAAGCCCCAAGATGCAATCCACAAGGAAAAAGAAGCAAAGGAAGGCCGTAAAGTACTTGGAGGAGAGACTTAGATTCAGACCTTTAAGAAGATGGAATACAGCTGGACAGAGGTGGAGACTATACCGCTGTATGCTCACGAAATGCCGTTTTCTTATTTCCAGCTGTGTGGGTGGTTGGTGGGTGCTCTGATGTGGTTTGCTGATTGCTTCTTCTTTCCTATCAAACGTCTATCGTCCTGATCTCCCCTTCTTCTTTTTTATGTTTGTTACTCTTTTGTAACACCTCTAATCTTCTGGTGCTCATATGACCTTATGCAGTTTCGAGCGCGGTAAAACCTCTACTAAAAAACAGCTGTATGGAGAAAAAGGGCATTTTGTCATCATAACCTTTAAAAAAGAGATGTTCTTCCAAATAAGAATTTTAAAAAATTTATTCAAAAACTATATCTAGTAACAGTTTCACTTCGATTTTTTTTCCACACAAGTAGGGTAACTGATCAGGCTATCGATTTAGCAAATAAAAATATGTGGCACCAAAAAAGATGCATGGCAGATTTTACTATATTATTAGATGATAAATAGTCTTAACTGAATAGTTTTTTGTTTTTTTTCATTTATCTCAAAAGAAGTAAAAATGAGTTATGGCATTTTGCTAGCGCAGTGACGATTTCCTAGGAAGGAATGAGTGATGACCTTTGGTTTCTTGATATATATATGACCGTGAGCCTGTTTGTGAGTGCAAGGTGGGTGGTTGGCAGGTGCTCTGGTGTGGTTTGCTTCTTCTTTCCTATCAAACATTTATCCTCCTTATCTCCCCTCCTTCTTTTTCGTGTTTGTTACTCTCTTGTAACACTTCTATTCTTCGGCACTTATATGACCTTATTGTGTTGCAAGTGCCGTTAAACTCTTACTATAACTGAGTGCAAGCATACTATTATATTATCATTATCATGGTTATGTGCACAGATGTGTGTGGAAGAGAGCATGTGTGAAGGAAGAGTGTGTGTGTATATGTGGGTGTGTATGCATGTGTGTGCATGTTTGTGTGTGTGTGTGTGTGTGTGTGTGTACATGTTTGTGTGTGTGTGTGCGTGTGTGCGTGCAGGTGTGTGTGTGTGTGTGTGTGTGTGTGTGCATGTTTGTGTGCGTGCAGGTGTGTGTGTGTGTGTGTGTGCATGTTTGTGTGCGTGTGTGCGTGCAGGTGTGTGTGTGTGTGTGTGTGTGCATGTTTGTGTGTGTGTGTGTGTGTGTGCCTTGTGAAATACCAAGCCAGTGTGCCAGGGTCTGGACAATAAAGATGTATCCCCGGGGCAGTGCCACTGACTGTAGTGTCTTTAGGCCATTCCCAAAGGGGGGCGGGGGGACATTTCTCGTTCAAGCATAGTAGAATTGTAAATGGGCTGATTCATGTCACGCTCATAACTGTGCCTGATCAACAACAGGGAACTGTTGCTTTTTCTGTCCTGATCCTTACTATTGTCATTTTCCTTACTATTGTCATTTTCCTCTACTTCTTTGGTATGTTTGTCACTCTCTTGTGACCTGCTATTTCCAGGGTGCATTGATAGTCGAAGCAGACCTTGTGCTGTTGAAGCTAGAGAGGTGAGCAGTCTAAATCTGATTCCCTGTAAAGACTTCTCTTTTGACACCCACCCCTTGGCACTCATATGACCGTAGGCAGTTGCGAGCGCGGTGAAACTCTCTACTATAAAAAATATATATAATAAAATAAAAAGATGTATCTTATATCTTATCTTATATCTTATATTCACAGGTAATTTTCCCCGGTACCTGATGGCAAGCACGACAAAATCTTACATTTGGTTCTCCGAGGACAGATTTTGGTAAAGATGTGTTACTCTTTCTTTGTCTGTTCTACTGTTTGAGAGAATTTTTGGGGGAATGAATATTGTCTCACACTTTGTGCTAACCTTTCATACGGAGGTGTTGGTTGGTAGCTTGGGTAGGGGTTTTTGTCTTACCTTTACAGACAGACAGTTCCTCTTTGGTAAATGGTAGGGTGGGTGGTTGGCGTGTGTTGTGGTGTGGTTTTTTGTGGGTGGTTGGTGGGTGCTCTAGTGTGGTTTGCTTCTTCTTTCCTATCAAACATCTATCGTCCTTATCTCCCCTCCCTTCTTTTTTGTGTTTGTTACTCTCTTGAAACACCTCTAATCTTCGGCACTTGTATGACCTTATTGTGTTGCAAGTGCCGTAAAATACTTATTAAAACTAAAACTGGTGTGGTTTACTCTTTCTGTTTTATCGAACTTGTATCGTCCTTATCACTCCTCCTTCTTTTTTGTATTTGTTGTTCTCTTGTAACTACTTCTAATCTTCGGCCGGCTCTGACATGATGTTATTGTATTGCAAGTGTGGTAAAACTCTTACTAAAATTAAAGGGGTATAAGGGATTTCTACTGTTAAATGTTGGGAGTTTCATTTTTGCTTGGCGAAGTCAATTTTTTAAAGCGTTTGTCTTTTTCTCTGGTATGGCTCAGCCTGGGGTTGTCCCCCTGACATAAGGTTTGAAGCAGGCACTCCTAAACCCCCCCCCGAATCCCCCCCGTTTGTTAACTACTGATGTAAGTTTGGGGTGATGTAAGCGTAACAACATTTAGTTAGACTTTCCAATCGGGTTACTGAATTCAAAACAAACCAGACTGTAGTATGTGAGGCATCGTGGCGAAATCAGGTGCATTTACACACACTTACACACACACACACACACATGTGCGCACACTCACACATGAACACACACGTACACGCACTAACACACTTACACACACATACACTTACATGCACACACACTTACACACACACACACACACACACACACACACACACACACACGTGCGCACGCTCACGCACACACCCACAAATAAACACACATACAAACCACCTCCTTAGGAACTCTTGTCCGTTTCTGCAGGGGTCGGAAGTCCACGCCTCTTCGCATTACCAATATGGAGCTGTGTGTGCGGATAGAGGTTTTCAACAGAGCGGGAACAGAGAAGCTGATTCCCTATGAGAAAGTTGCCGTGTACGATGGTTAGTACAGTACAAGGTTCCACTCCAATCTCTTCTGGGTTGTTTTTGGTTTGTTTTTGTTTTTTTGTTTTTTGTGTGTTTTTTTTGGTAGTTTTTTTTTGGGTGGGGGGGGGAGGGTGCTATATCTTATGTTAAATTTCAGGCTTCGATACTCTCATGAGTATATTGGCTGTTCTATTTGAAGACTCTTATCCATCTGAGTGAAGCGAAAATGTTGTTTTGTTTTGTTTTATTTTTCCTGTCTCAAAAAGTCTGTTTGACTGACTTGTGTGTTTAAAGAGTTGCACCAGTGTACGTGAGTGGTTTGCAGGTGGTCTGGGTGTGGTTGGCTCCTTTTTTTTCCTATCAAACATCTGTCGTCCTTATCTCCCCTCCTTCTTTTTTGTGTATGTTACTCTCTTGTAACACGTAATCTATTTTTCGGCGCTTATATGACCTTATGCAGTTGCGAGCGCCGTAAAATCTCTACTAAAACTAAAAAAAACTAAAAGAGTTGCACCAGTGGTACGTGAGTGGTTTGCAGGTGGTCTGGGTGTGGTTTGCTCCTTCTTTTTTGTGCTATCAAACATCTATCATGTTTACTTCTCCTTCCTTCTTTTCTTTCTTTGTTACTCTGTTGTAACCACTTCTAATCTTCAACATTTTCTTGACCTATTCATGTTGCAAGTGCTGTAAAACTTACTAAAATGGAAAAACATCGATATGATGTTCTGTGCTATCTATATGTGAGGCAGCATGGTGGAATCAAGCTCTCGTCAAAATAATCAAGGTGAAGAAACTTGCATTTTTCCTCAGGTTTGTGAATTTTAATCAATTTTTTTGTTTTTTGGCTCAACACCTTTCATGCCCATTGAAAAACTCATTTCTGTGTGGATTTTTCAGAAAAACGTCGATTATAGGCACCAAAAATGTTAATTTTCAGTTACCATGGACTCTTAAGCTGAGGAAATAACTAATCTTTGGTTGCCATTTTCTCGCTAATTTTACCTCTGAAAACAGGTGACCCCAACCTCCTTCATTCGCAAATATCTCAACTTGTATTCAAGATAAATGGATATTTTTTTCGTCCAAATAAAGACAAGCGAACAAGCTTAAAGATGATACCAATAACTCTACATGCCCAAAAACTGACAAGAGCCTGATTCCACCACGCTGCATCACATATGGTTGTGCACGTACGGAGTCGGTCAAAATATGTAATGGGTTGTCGGAGGGTGCTACTGGTGGGTCCTACTTCTTTACTTTCCCTCTGTTATTTCTGTCTGTGTGTCTGTCTTACATTTTCCCAGCAGTAAGTGACCATTTTTGTGTCGATGTGCTTCTCTTTATTCAAACAAACTAACAAAATTAAAATATGTCCTATTTTCACCAGGTCCAGATGACAGATATTTTGAACTGACCAAAGACTGTCTCGGAAATCCTCGAATGGAGGAAGCTCTGAACTTTAGGCGTAAAAGAATAGCAGTTGTGCCTCGAGGGTAAGAAAAATTGTAGGAGGTTTTTATTGTTGGGGGGGGGGGGGGGGGGGATGGGTGTTCAGATAGGGTTGCTTAGCTGCCAGCCAGCACATAAATAATGTATTTAGTACGTTTTTAGGGTCTGAAAAAGGAAGTATGTTTTTTTTGTGTTTTTTTTTAAGAAGAACAAAATATATATTTTTTTTTTCTAGTATTGCTTCTCACAAACTAGCTGATGCTGCAAAAAAAGTTAATGAACTTTCATGGCCGTATTTGCTAAAAATAATGTAAATCATTTTCCCTGTGTGCAGTGATGAACTTGTGGGTGGTTGGCAGGTGTTCTGGTGTGGTTTGCTCCTTCTTTCGTATCAAACATCTATCGTCCTTATCTCCCCTCCTTCTATTTTGTGTTTGTTACTCCCTTGTAACACCTTTAATCTTCGGCACTTATATGACCTTTTTGTGTTGCAAGTGCTGTAAACCTCTTGCTAAAACTAAACTAAGCGATGAACTTTTTGTCTTATTATTCTGTGACCGGTGTTACTCTTGTCTCTTGTTTGTGGGTGGCTGGAGGGTGTAGCTGATAGGCCCTACTTCTTCCTCCCCCCGGCTTTCTTTTGTTGCTTCTCGTGGCACTGCAATAATATGGCTGTCATTGTGTTGACATGTTTTTTCTTCATACTCAACCCTATGTCAATGTTGTTTGCAGGGACTATGACGGTGGGTTTTGGCTGGTGTATACAAGTTTTGAGTCTCGTAAGTATGGCTAAAAGTACGTGGTCCTACAAATCTTTATATATCTTTTACGCACATGAGGGGGCTCAGAGGCAAAACGCAAAAATAAAATGGGAAATGTGAAAACTCTCTTGTGACCTGCTATTTCCGGGGTGCCTTGATAGTTGAAGCAGACCTTGTGCTGATGAAGCTAGAGAGGTGAGCCGAATAAGTCTGATTCCCTGTAAGGACTTCTCTGTTGACAGCCACCCCTTGGCGCTCATATGACCTTATGCTGTTGCGAGCGCCGTAAAACCCCCTACTATAAAAAAAAAAGAAGAAAGAAATGATCTTCATTATTATTATTAATAGTGGGAGGGAGGGGAGGCTTGTCCGCTCTTCAGATACCGGATCCTCCTGCTAGTCAGACACCCCCCGAGGCAGTGCCACTGACTGTAGTGTCTTTAGACCATTCCCAAAGGGGGGACATTTACATTTCTCGTTCATGCACAGTAGAATTGTAAATGGGCTGATTCATCAATGTCACGCTCATAACTGTGCCTGATCTGCAACTGGGAACTGCTGCTTTTTCTTTCCTAATCCTTACTATTGTCATTTTCCTCTACTTCTTTTTTATGTTTGTCACTCTCTTGTGACCCTCTATTTCCGGGGTGCCTTGATAGTCGAAGCAGACCTTGTGCTGTTGAAGCTAGAGAGGTGAGCAGAATAAGTCTGATTCCCTGTAAAGACTTCTCTGTTGACACCCACCCCTTGGCGCTCATATGACCTTATGCAGTTGCGAACGGCGTAAAACCCTCTACTTAAAAAAAAACTTCTAGTCAGATGTGAAACAGAAAAAATACACTAATGCTCAATTTTTTAGGACATTATAATATGTCTGCATGCAAAGATTGCTCTGAAGATTACAATGTTTTATTCTGGACTGAAAGTAGTAAAGTGATTTGCTGAATTTCTTCTTTTTTATTTTTATTCCTTTTTTATTTTCCTTTCTTCTTTTTCTTTTCTATTTTTCTTTTCTTTTTTTTGGTATTTGTTTGTTGTTTTGAAAAACACTTTTGGGTACTTTTGTTGGACTTCTCGTTCATCTTTTGTCTTTTTCTTTCTTTCCTGGTTCAGGCGCATTTTGCGATGGCCACCCAGAAATGATGCTGTCCGTTCCTGGAGATTATCGGCTGCCCGATGACGTTGTAAACAGGTGATTGAAATTGTATTGTGTTAATATAGTAACTTAGTTTTACACCCAGTCAACACATTTTAAAACAATCCCCCCCGGGGCAGTGCCACTGACTGTGGTGTCTTTAGGCCATTCTCAAAGGGGGGACATTTCTCGTTCGAGCGCCGTAGAATTGTTAATGGGCTTCGAATCGAGGTAGTGACCGAAAAATTTTCTTCTCTAAAGTTGTCTCCTTTCACCTTCTTTCCTGCTCTCTAGCAATGTTCTGTCATCTACTTTCGTCTCCTTTTTCTGCTCCCACCCTCTCACCTCCTTTGCCCCCTCCTCTGGGCTCCTGACTCTTTCTGCAGCCTTTCTACTGCTACTCCTTGGCTCGTTTTTACTGCTGTCTTTCAGCCACACTCCTGATATTCCGATAGGAATTTGTGCAAGTTGCACATGTTAAAGATCCCTTGGTGGTTTAAAATCGATAAGAGTAAGCTTCGGCCGCCACCCGGACAAAAATTCTAAATTTCCTACCAAATGAAAATATTAGGTGTGTCCCAGGCGCTCACATGACCTTATGCAGTTGCTAGCGCTGTAAAACACTTACCAGAACAAAACAACCCCCCCCCCCAAAAAAAATATAAAAAAATAAAAGGACCTTTTTTTGTGTGCCTTTAATCCACCATAACTTCACATGGAAATGTGTTTTTATATTGGCATATAAAAGGGTTGAACCAGAAAACTAAAAAATTCTATAAAAATTTCAACACTGGCGGAAAAATGCCTGTTTCTCCGATTTCGTTATTTTGACGAGCGCCTGAATTCACCATGGTGACTCACGTATTGTTTGTCTGTTTGCTTTAGGTCATTAGCGTTGAACGATTGTAGAAGTTTTGTACGTTAATATGTCTGCAAGAAAGTACAATCTTAGGATATTATCGGTGGGTGGTTGGCGGGTGCTCTTGTGTGGTTTGCTCCTTCTTTCCTATCAAACATCTGTCGTCCTTGTCTCCCCTTCTTCTTTTTTTGTGTATGTTACTCTCTTGTAATACATAATCTATTCTTCGGCACTTATATGACCTTATTGTGTTGCAAGTGCCGTAAAACTCTTACTTAAACTTATTTTAAAAAAGAATATTATTGTTACTGTTATTTATTTTCAGAAATGCCAGGTGCTCATTTTCTATTGGAAAAGACAACACCAATGGACGACTGCTTCGTTTTACTGGGAGTTCCAATATTGACAGAGAAGAAGGGGAAATTACGTTAATGGAAGGTATTTGTCGGAACGCAGTACTCTTTTATGTTTTGTACTTTATTGTGTTTCTGAAGAAACAATCCACCATTGTGGGTGGTTGGCGGGTGCTCTGGTGTGGTTTGCTTCTTCTTTCCTTTTAAACATCTATCATCCTTATCTCCCTTTTTTATGTTTGTTACTCTCTTGTAACACCTCTAATCTTCTGGCGCTCATATGACCTTATGCAGTTGCGAGCGCTGTAAAACCTCTACTAAAAGTAAACAATCCACCATTGCCCCTGCTTGCGGAGAGAAGAAAAAGGATTGTGGGTTTTTGGGGAGTTATAGTGGCCTAGTGGTTAGGCTCTCGGACTCGCAACCGTAAGGTCGTGGGTCTGAATCCCGTCAGGAGCCCCACGTTGTGTCCTTGGGAAAGGCACTTTACACGAATTTTCCTCACAGGTAGGAATGGGTACCCGGCCGTAGACAGCGAAAGATCTTGTCAGTATGTTAGTGTTTTAGCACCTATAAATGGCCGCTTGCACTGTATGCTTCCCAGGAAGTTGAGGTTGTTTCAGAATGCTCTCAGGTCTGCTGGGTTAATAGTATAGATTGTGAGGCGCATAGAGCTTGCTCTACGTATGGTTTTTCTCATAATATCTTTCTTTGCTCCCAGTCTCAGTTTTTTGTTTCTTTCTTTGCTCACAGTCTCAGTTTCTTGTATCTTTCTTTGCTCCCAGTCTCAGTATCTTTCTTTGCTCTCAGTCTCAGTTTCTTGTATCTTTCTTTGCTCCAAGCCTAGTGGTTAAGCTACTGGACTCACAATCATGAGATTGCGGGTTCGAGCGACAGCTCGGTCTGACGTTGTGTCCTTGGGAAAGGCACTTTACACGAATTTCCCTTTTAACTTGATCCTTTCAGAGAGTGTAACATTACGTTGGGAGGTCCCGCGTCTTAAACAGCCAAATGGTGTTGACAGGGCCGTTAAATGTAATACTAGTGGGTGGTTGGCGGGTGCTCTGGTGTGGTTTGCTCCTTCTTTCCTATCAAACACCTATCATTCTTATCTCCCCCCCCCCCCTCCTTTTTTGTGTTTGTTACTCTCTTGTAACAACTCTAATCTTCGGCACTTATATGACCTTATTGTGTTGCAAGTGCCGTAAAACACTTACTAAACCCCCACCCCCCCGCGGGGCAGTTCTACTGACTGAAGTGTCTTTAGGCCATTCCCAAAGGGAGGGACATTAACATCTTAAGTTCTTATGTACAGTAGAATTGTAATTGTAAATGGGCTGATTCACCAATGTCATGCTCATAACTGTACCTGCACTGCAACAGGGAACTGCTGCTTTTTCTTTCCTAATCCTTACTATCGTCATTTTTCCTCTATTACTTTTGTATGTTTGTCACACTCTTGTGACCCGCTATTTCCTGGGCGCCTTGATAGTCGAATCACACTTTGTGCTGTTGAAGCTAGAGAGGTGAGCAGAGTAAGTCTGATTCCCTGTGAGGATTTCTCCGTTGACATCCACCCCTTGTCGCTCATATGACCGTATACAGTTGCGAGCGCCGTAAAACCTCTACAAAAAAATAAAAGAAAACCACTTAAACTAAAACCTGTACCATTTTCACCATTTCAGTTGTCCCAGGGCGCGGTGGGACCAGATCAAAGAAGACCAGGAATGTGGTGCTGCTCAAGAGTCTGCCGGGCAACGCGTCTGATCCGTCTGTCTATTCCAAGCGTCCAATGGCTCTGTTCATGAAGCTTCCCTCCCTTGCGAGAACGAAGGATCGCTTTCTCCAGTTTCGCGTGGAGTACGATGATGATGGAGGTATGTGTGGCTTCTTCTTCTTCTTCCTCCTCCTCCTCCTCCTCCTCCTCCTCCTCCTCCTCCTCCTCCTCCTCCTCCTCCTCCTCCTCCTCTTTCACCTCTTCCTCATTGTGTGATGTATCGTGGTTGTAAGTGTTTCACATCCCACGGGTGGATGGCGGGTGCTCTGGTTTGGTTTCCTTCTTCTTTCTCTGTCAAACTTCTATTTTCAAGATTTCTCCTTCTTTTTTTTGTGTTTGTTACACTCTTGTTTCACATCCAACCTGTGGCACTTATATGACCTTATTGTGTTGTAAGTGCCATAAAACTCTTACAAAAACCCCCCACAACTATTAGTTAAAACTTAACTGAATGAGTTGCAAGAGCTGACATTATTTCATTACTTTTCCTATATGGTTCCTAACTTTCCTATGTTTCATTACTTTTCCTATATGGTTCCTAACTTTTCCTATGTTTCATTACTTTTCCTATATGGTTCCTAACTTTTCCTATATTTCATTACTTTTCCTATATGGTTCCTAACTTTTCCTATGTTTCATTACATTTGCTATAGTTCCTAACTTTTCCTATATTTCATTACTTTTCCTATATGGTTCCTAACTTTTCCTATGTTTCATTACTTTTCCTATATGGTTCCTAACTTTTCCTATGTTTCATTACTTTTCCTATATGGTTCCTAACTTTTCCTATGTTTCATTACTTTTCCTATATGGTTCCTAACTTTTCCTATATTTCATTACTTTTCCTATAGTTCCTAACTTTTCCTATGTTTCATTACTTTTCATATATGGTTCCTAACTTTTCCTATATTTCATTACTTTTCCTATAGTTCCTAACTTTTCCTATGTTTCATTACTTTTCCTATAGTTCCTAACTTTTCCTATGTTTCATTACTTTTCCTATATGGTTCCTAACTTTTCCTATATTTCATTACTTTTCCTATAGTTCCTAACTTTTCCTATATTTCATTACTTTTCCTATAGTTCCTAACTTTTCCTATGTTTCATTACTTTTCCTATAGTTCCTAACTTTTCCTATGTTTCATTACTTTTCCTATATGGTTCCTAACTTTTCCTATATTTCATTACTTTTCCTATAGTTCCTAACTTTTCCTATATTTCATTACTTTTCCTATAGTTCCTAACTTTTCCTATCTTTCATTACTTTTCCTATAGTTCCTAACTTTTCCTATGTTTCATTACTTTTCCTATAGTTCCTAACTTTTCCTATGTTTCATTACTTTTCCTATATGGTTCCTAACTTTTTCTATGTTTCATTACTTTTCCTATATGGTTCCTAACTTTTCCTATATTTCATTACTTTTCCTATAGTTCCTAACTTTTCCTATATTTCATTACTTTTCCTATAGTTCCTAACTTTTCCTATGTTTCATTACTTTTCCTATATGGTTCCTAACTTTTCCTATATTTCATTACTTTTCCTATAGTTCCTAACTTTTCCTATATTTCATTACTTTTCCTATAGTTCCTAACTTTTCCTATGTTTCATTACTTTTCCTATAGTTCCTAACTTTTCCTATGTTTCATTACTTTTCCTATAGTTCCTAACTTTTCCTATGTTTCATTACTTTTCCTATATGGTTCCTCACTTTCCGTATTGTTTCCTAACTTTTCCTATGGTTCCTAACTTTGGTTCTTTACTTTTCCTATTGCTTCATTACTCTTCCTACCACAGATAAAACGTGCAGTAGCTCATCTCGAGTGGCCACTCGGCAAAAGCAACATCTCGCATCTCCCAACTTCCCCGACTACTATCTCACGTAAGTTGTCATTTAAAAAAAATTTTATGTGTTTTTTTTTTTGGATTGAGGTAATTTTACGATTCCCATAGACTCTGTGGGTGGTTGGCGGGTGCTCTGGTGTGGTTTGCTTTTTCTTTCCTGTCAAACATCTATCGCCCTTATCTCCCCTTCTTCTTTTTTATGTTTGTTACTCTCTTGTAACAGCTCTAATCTTCTGGCGCTCATATGACCTTATGCAGTTGCGAGCGCCGTACAACTTCTACTAAAACTAAAACTAAAATGTTTGGGGGGGTTTTCGGATAGAGGTGATTTTACGACTCCATCGACACAGTGGGTGGTTGGCGGGTGCTCTTGTGTCACGGTGTGGTTTACTCTTCCTTTTTTCCTATCAAACATCTATCGTCATTATCTCTCCTCCCATCTTTTTTTTTGTGGTCGTTACTCTCTCGCAACACCTCTAATCTTCGGCACTTATATAACCTCTTGTGTTGGAAGTGCCGTAAAACTCTTACTACCCCCCCTTGGGGCAGTACCACTGACTGTAGTGTCTTTAGGCCATTCCCAAAGGGGGGACATTTCTCGTTCATGCACAGTAGAATTGTAAATGGGCTGATTCATCATGTCACGCTCATAACTGTGCCTGATCTACAACAGGGAACTGCTGCTTTTTCTTTCCCAATCCTTACTATTGTCACTTTCCTCTACTTCTTTTGTATGTTTGTCACACTCTTGTGACCCCCTATTTCCGAGGTGCCTTGATAGTAGAAGCAGACCTTGTGCTGTTGAGGCTAGAGAGGTTAGCAGAGTAAGTCTTGGTTCCCTGTGAGGATTTCTCTGTTCACACCCACCCCTTGGCGCTCATGTGACCTAATGCAGTTGCGAGCGCCGTAAAACCCTCAACTATAAAAAAAAAATAAGATCATGTCCCAATGGTACTGAGTGGGTTAAATTCTCCAACTGACCTTGACTTTATTCCGACAGGAACCTGAAGTGAACGTGGAATATCGCCTCAAGTCGGACAGTGGCACTGAGTGGGTTAAATTCTCCAACTGACCTTGACTTTATTCCGACAGGGACCTGATGTGTACGTGGAATATCGTCAAGTCGGATGAGGCGTCGGAGGAGGAGCACATCGTGATTGAAGTGATGGAGTACCCGGTGTTCCCCTGCCAACGCTATTCCAGGAATGAGGACTCTCTCAAGATTGGACCGAAAAGTCAGTGGTTGTAGGGCTTGTATTTTTTTGTGTGTGCCCGTGTGCGTGTGTGTGTGTGTGTGTGTGAGAGAGAGAGAGAGAGAGAGTACCCGATGTTCCCCTGCGGACGCTATTCCAGGAACGAGGACTCTCTCATGATTGGACCGAAAAGTCAGTGGTTGTAGAGCTTGTATTTTTTTATGTGTGCCTGTGTGTGTTTGTGTGTGTGAGTTTGTGTGTGTTGGTGTGAGCGTGCGTGCACAGAGAAGAAGTACCCTGCCTTCCCCTGTGAATGCTGTTCCAGAAACGAGGATTCTCTCAAGATTGGACCGAAAAGTCAGTGGTTGTAGAGCTTGTATTTTTTTGTGTGTCTCTGTGTGTTTGTGTGTGAGCGTGTGCATGAGTGTGTGTGTGTTGTTGAATGCATGCGTACGTTAATTCTTGTGTGCGTGAATGCGTGCATGCATGTGTGTGTGTGTATGTGTGTGTGTGTGTGTGTGTGTGAGAGAGAAAGAGAAGGAGTACCCCGATATTTCCCTGTGAATGCTATTCCAGAAACAAGGACTCTCTCAAGATCAAAAAGTCAGTGGTTGTAGAGCTTGTGTGATTGCCTTGTTTTGTCTTATCCATACGACTGTTAGTGTGTGTGTGTGTGTGTGTGTGTGTCTGTGTATGGTTGGTTGGCGGGTGCTCTGGTGTGGTTGGTTGGCGAGTGCTCTGGTGTGGTTGGTTGGCGAGTGCTCTGGTGTGGTTTGCTCCTTCTTTCCTATCAAACATCTATCGTCCTTATCTCTCCTTCTTTTTTATGTTTGTT